CAGCAGCTCCGAAACCCGCTCCAACCGTCCTAGCTTCGCGAACGTGTCAACGAGGTACGTGTGTGTCGTATGGTCCGGGACCACACCGGCTTCCAGCATCGTCCGGAGCACCATCTCCGCCTGGTCCGCGATCCCACGAGCTCCTGCAGCTGCAAGCAGAGTGTTGTATGTAACAATGTCAGGACGCAGCCCGTCGTGCCGCATCTCTGCGAACAGACCCAGAAGCGCGTCCCACGCCACGCCGCCGCGTGCACACGCATTGATTACCGTGTTGTACGTCAGAATCGACGGCGGGATTCGCTCTGCCTTCATCGTGTTTAACAGTTCAAGAGCAGTCTCATGGTCGCCATTGCGGCCGTAGGCGTTGATCATGGCGGTGTCAGTGCGGTGCGAGCCACAGAATTCTGCGGCATTTCATCAAACACATCACGGGCCTTCTCGAGGAGGGACTCTCGCCAAGACTCCGATGAGGATAGCGTGAATGTGCTCGTTGGCGCACACCAGAGCTGGCGCTGCATTTACTTGAGAGGCGGAGCGACCGCTGCCAGTCGCCGCGGCGGGCGAACTCCTTGAAGACGAATGGCGAAATCGGGAGGGAGACGGGAACGAAACGACTCGAGGCAGCGGGCGATGGAGCCGCGAGGGGGGAGCTGCTCGAGGCTTGTTGGATTAGGGTTTCGACGTCGTAGCTGTACTTGCCCTTCTCTAAGGGGACTGAAGGGGAGCCCAAGATTAGTTCTTTGGGCTTCGATCTTGAGACTGAGGCTGTTGATGACGGTGACGATGGTGGGGGTTTTGGTTTGAGATGGGGTTTGGGTTTAGGGTTTCGTTTGAAGGGGGAGAGAGTCTTGGGGAGGAATTGGGACGGGGAGGTGGAGAGAAGAGCCATGATTGGTTGAGGATTGGAATTTTCACAGCATAATAATTTGATAAAGCTTCAAACTTTGCAATTTTGAGAGAGGGTTTAACGCTGTCAGCTGAGGTTGAGGGTTGAAGGTGGAGGGGTTTAAGCCTGAGAAAAGTTTCTGGAGCTTCGGATAAGGAAGAAGATGAGCACGTGAGACGGGGACTTGCTCCCTCCAAAACCCGGGATGTAAGTAACGGTGAATTTCACAGGGTTATTTGCGTTTTAGTACCCCCAAGTTTACACTATTATTAATTTTAAACTTGGTAGGTTACAAGATCCCGAATTCAACATCAGACCATTATTTGAGCAAAAAATTATCTGATCTGAGATTGAACAATCTTAAATGAAACTCAATGGATAATTATCCGTTCAAAAAAATAAAAGATAAAAACATAAAGTACATTATAGTTACAGAAATTTATGGAAATTACATTTTCAGCTTGACATTCATTCATACTAGAACTTCAGCGGTTGCTGTAAGTTGCTTAAAATTTCATGACATCTTTTCTAAATTACATTTCTTTTAATGAAATTTACATTTAGCAACATGCGCCATGTGGATTAGCAAAATTTTTGCAGACCTGACCAGTAATATAATCGACATGAAATTGCAATCACAATATAGTTCCAGTCCAAAAACATTTCACCACAATTCTAGATTAATAAATCCCTCAAGATCACAAAACAATGAGCAAAAAATAACTATCAGCCGCAATGTACAACACCACCAACATGAACAAGGAGATGCCAAGAGAGAGACAGAAATGTCAAGAAATACTAACAAACAAATAATAAACTTACCAAAGTACACATAACATTAAAATGGGCAAAAACAGAAAAACAAAAACACAATATAATAACAAGAACGGCGCATTCAAGCCATATCAACTGCGATTATTCTGTAATCCCTGGCGATGTTTTTAGAGTCCTCACCCCCACCTCATAATCGCCGAACCCCAAGTGAGGCCTGCTCCAAATCCAGCGGTGGCAATGGTGTCACCTTTCTTCACTCTCCCGCCCCTCACAGCTTCGTCTAAGGCCAAAGGTATTGAAGCAGCGCTCGTGTTTCCATAGTTGGCTAGGTTCGACAGGACCTTCTCTTGTGGAATCTCTAAACGAGTGGCCACTGCGTCGATGATCCTTTGGTTGGCCTGCAGCGTAGAGAAACCACAGCTTAGACCTTAAAGAGAAAAAGTTTGTATATTTTTTTTCCGGAAAACAAGAATAAATAGACATAGACATAGACTAATAATGGGGTTGCAAATAGAAATCCATGTGGTATTGCTGTTTTGAACTTACTACCTCTACAGTTTTTTTGTTGCAGATTTGACCCTCTGAGTAAATTTTTTTGACTCTTATACCCTCGGTGAAATTCCCACAAATACTGGGTGAAATTAGTGAGTCTATCAGAGAGTAATAGAATAAAAAAAAAACCATGTGGGGTCCATCAGCAGCAGTGAAACCACACAGTTGGCAAGTTCAAACAACAAAATTAAAAGGGGTCTAATGCAATTTAACTCCTGACAATATTAGGCTCCCTTTAGATGATCATAAGCATTCACGAAACATACTTGATATTTTGAGATATCTAACATGTCAAATCTAGAGAAAGAAAACTGTACGATGGTAAAATTGCAGACAAAATAAACCTTGATGGCACCAGATACCATGATATGTGAGTTTCTCATTCCTGAGTCAATTTTAATTTCACATCCTCAAATATTGAAGATATGTGCATGATATACATGGCAGCGATTATAGTGTCGCATATTGGCACTTAGTATAAAAATGGTGTAGATATAGGAAGAGACTCAGGATGTAGTGGAATGGTTGCTTGTGATCAAAGAAACTTAAAAGGATCAAATCAGATCACCAATCAATTTCAGAGGAAGACTCTCCCTTGTAATGGGAGAGGGTGGCAGTTATATCCAAACTACTAAAGAGAAATTTTTCTAAAAATAAAATACATTAGATTTCTACAAAAAGAAACTTCATCTATTATAGGGTCAAAAGATGAGGTTCTCTTTCTTCACAATCTTCAAGCAACCCTATTTTCTTTAGATTGAATATTCATTCACAAATGATAATATTTTTGTATAAAGTTGGCTATACTAAGGCATTCTTATCACAAAAACTGCAATAAAAACCAGCATATGACGAACAGCTGATAATTGTGATAACTATACTTTATTGCGAAAACTGCAATAAAAATCAACATATGAGGAACAGCTGATAATTGTGATAACTATTGCTTGTCTGATAACTATTGCTCGTCTTGCTGATCTTTCTCAAATGATAATACACAGACTTCATCAAGATCCTGCTGCTTACATTCCATAGTTTGTACATTAGAATGCCTTTCAATCTTGCAACCTTCCCAGTTCTTAGGACTCATCATTATCTTCATTTATTTGATTATTTTGCTAAGGTGGGAAAACCCTAGTAAATAAGTAATAGGATTAAAAAAAAGGAGCTTACAGTGCTTTTCTTCACAGCATAGACTATGAATATACGTATACTAGAAAATTATTGATTTAATTTACTTAATTGTTAGGTTTTTACTCGTCATGTGCCCCTGACTGACACACTTCGTGATTAAAAGCTATAACTGTCGCACTTTACTTCACAGTTATCTAGTAAAACAATTTAGGGTTATGTGCAGAATTGCAGATAGACCCCTGCAATATTGATGTTTTGAACTTACTACCCTTTCTAGTCTTATTTTTGTAGATAGCCCCCCTGAGTGAAACTTTTTCTCTTACCCGTAGAGAACGAGAAATTAATTCTTTTGAAAGATAAGACTCCCTGAGGGTAAAAGAGTCAAAAAGAATTTCACTCAGGGGGCCTAACTGCAGCAACA